GATTTAAATAACTTAAATACAAAAGAAAATTAAATAATCTATAACTAAACCATCAACAAACTAAATACAACTTCAATTTTGAAATTTGATAAAAAATAAAAGTTGTGATCAAAAAATAAATAAATTTGAGTATTTGAGCTTCAGAGTACACCTACATTCTTATATAATATATACATTGTTCTGTTGTAAAACATAGTTATTTATTATTTTTTTCATATACCGGAGAATTATTAGAGCAAAATTTGCTTATATTTTAAGTTTATCAATAAAATTCATTGATTGACCACGTCGTCACCTTGAAATAGAGAACGGACTTTTAGTTTTATAAATTTGTCAAGAGCGCACAAAATTACATGCCTAAATCCTTCAAGGTCTAACTCTTCAATTTCATCCTTGTTTTTAAATAAAATATCTAGAAATCACGTTTTCAAGACACGTAATTTCTATCCCACCTTTTTTTTTTCTTTTCAGTATATTTATGTAGATACAAATAAAAATGACATTTATAAAAATGTTTAATCTTTATAGACCAATATTTATAAAATCTGAATTTATATAAGGAAGATGTTATTTTTTATAAAAATTATGTAATTGCAGTATAATTATTATTACACGGTATTTAACTGTTAACTATTGTCTATTACAGACTAATGTAATGGTTAATAAAATATATTATACAGATACCTATGTAGGTTTATTTGAAATATTTTATATGTATAAAGCGCAAATTGTATTTTGGGTCAGGGTTCATGGTTTAATATTATATTCACGTCATCATTTATCGAAATAGTAATAAAACGTTAGTTATAAGACACAAGAATACTTAACAAATTTTAGTATACATTATGTTTAAGTTACATTGATAGGTACTTATTAGTGGATATTATTCAGAAAAAAAATAATTAATACTAATTATTTAACAAAAGCCCATAATTAAAACATGAAATTCATTTGCATACAACTTTTAGTTGGTTTTAAATTTTAACTAACAAAAATCCCGGCTTAATATTTGTTCAAGATCATATTATACAAAAATACATTATACAATTAAAATAGCTTGAATAAACATTGTATACCAGTAACTTTAAAACTAATACTATTTAACTAAGAATATTATTATTACAAAAGAATGTTATATCGATCAAATCGATAATATTAATATATAGTTAATGGATATTAATTGTATGGATTTGTTATATATCATATTATAATACAAATAAAAAAAATTGGTTCACAAGTCTCGATTATTACATAAAATAATTAAATTGAATAATAAGAACGAGAAATATGACGTTTTTGCAAAATTTATTTATTTAATAAAATTGTAAATAACTCAACTAAAATATGGCTTTAAAGTGGTTAGGTTTAGAAATGTTGTGCCTAGATCAATAATGAAAACGTATGTAAATATGTTTATATATTTCAATCTATGCTTGTATCATTTTCATATCGTATCAAATAGCAAATATCGAAAATATTATATTACTAAAGCAATTTTATATTATCTTTTTATGATCGTTTTATTTACTGGCATAGATTATTACACTGTCAATATCACAGTTTTGGATTCTCATTGTTTTATGTCGCATTTAAATGCACAATACACGATATGTTTTATAATATTATATTTATAAAATCGTATACATCTTTTATACGTATAAGAAGATTTTTGATACATTAGTAAATTCTTTATGTTTAAACAGTGTGTTCCAATAAGTTCTATTAATGGATAAATAAGAACGATATTTTAAGTAAAAATTAACAATCTCAAATCGTTAAGAAAATTACAAGAATACATTTATGGTCATATGAAAAACTAAATAAATAAATAATTTATATCTAATACCTATTATTATATATATATTCAGTACAATGTTTTTTAATAAATATTAGTTTTAATATTCAATGAATTTATTAATATTAGAGTATCAGAGAAAAAAATTATACTAGTTATAATTTAACAAATTATAAAAATATTTATATGTTTATCTTGGAAAAAACTTTTAAATTTAAATGTCATAATTAAATAAATAAAAATTAAATAAAATTTAACTCTAAGCTAAAATAATTTGTAATCGGTTTCTTGTGAATTGGATAAACTACACTTAAATTCTATTTAACATACATGATTTACACGAAAAAAATAAAAATAAAACATTGAAAATGAAAAGAATATTCTAAAAGTCGATCCACACTATGCATGTTTCACGTTTCGTAGTGTTTCGTTACACTTTTCAGTTTACTGTTGTTTAATACGTTTAGTTAAAAATGAATAGTGTAGCAAAGAAGAATTATCAACTACCAAAGTAATTTATATTGTATTGGCTTCAAAACTAAAAAAAAAAAAAAAACCAAAAACACGAAGATGATGGACGACTCCACTCAATGATAATTGATACAATTAATTTACCTATATTTAATATCTAATTTCATTTATAATCCAGTGATATAAACTTCCTGTTTACAAACATATGCAATGCAAAATAACACGAAATCATGTAAAACACAACGAAACGACATGAAACAATTTTTTTGTGTCCTTTGATTTTCTCAATTTATTGATTCACTCTCAAAACAATACGAAACAATTTTCACGAAAATATTTTTCATAAAAAAGCTATAGAGATCAGTAAATGAAAACGTGAAAACACGGAACGCAAAACATGCATAGCGTGGAGCGACCTTTACACAACAAATTACGATGAGAGTAAAAAACTATTTTATAGGTTATATAATCTTCTAGTTGAATTCGAAAAAATGACTATACGAGGAAAATATAATGAATAGGAACCCAGAGATGATTAAAAAAAAAATCAACCTTAGGAATCTTAGGAATGTATTGATACTCAAAAAAAATATAAACTTCTAAAATGTAACATTCGGTAAATTATCTATACTCAATTTTTTAACTAAATATAGTATATTTATATAGTATAACTGTTATTTTGAACGTTTTAGGAAAATTCAAGTAGTATAATTATATTTTTTTTTCGTTACCTAATAATAAAACTACTAATCATAAGGGTTTCATTTTTTTTATTAATTTTCCTCTCGATTTTCCCGAACTCAAAAATTTTAGTTAATTAAACTTAACATATTTAATAGGACAGACATAAGTATTTTCTGGGTAATATTATTAAACTATAATCAACAATTCAATTATTCAATTCATACAATTATATATACCCGTAGTATTACCATATAAGTATAGTATTGTTACTATTCACAATAAATTGTCCAAGTATCACTATGCATAGTACATATAGTACTTTATAAGTACATCACGAAAATATAATAATTTAGCCAATATTATAATCATATGTATTTATTGTTCGTTTTGAAATTAATCAATTAGCAATTCATTTTTAAAACACTAAAAATGTGCATTCGACGACATTATATGAAAACAGGTTATAAGCGTATTGAATTTTTAAAAGACCAATTTTAGATAAATTAAGATAAATCTAAATGGTTTCAAAAAAAATAACTTAATAAGTATCAAATTTTAATGAAAACTACATAAACACAATCACATTTATACATTGCACAGTAATGTAAACTATCAATTATAAAATATATAATAGTTTAGTTCAAAAACAAATATACCAAAAAAGTACTTTGCCTGATCATCCAAATGAGAAAAATATACATAAAATTCAGTAAAAAACATATATCTAATCATTAAGGCTTTAAAACTATAGACTTAAATAGTCGAATATAAAAATGCAATGCATGCAACTAGTATTCACGCAAAGGAAATAAAAGTTTAATGGAATAAATACTAATAATAGTATATTTTTATTGGATATTCTATACTTAACGAATTATATAAGACCTAGGGTGGCTATTCTTAAAATATTAGGCTGAACCTACAATATCTATGAATTTATGGATTTAAAATCTAATAAAAATAATAATTTTAATTAAGTAATTTAAATAAAAACACCATTGTTATACAATAAGATTTTCCTAAAGTATACAAGTTACGAAATAAATATTAATTTAATGGAATATAGTATGGTATTAATTAGATACCAGATTGAATACGGATACACCATTGATAAAAATACGGGAGGACTCACTCCCGTTCCGGTATCGTATCCGCACCGGTTTCTGTATATCGTTATTAAAGGGATTTTTAACACATACCTCCATATATCAAATATTTAATTATCTCACCACTCTCACCCCAACTAATTTACATAATAATATTGGTATAGGGCCATCGGGGATACAACGGATATTTTTTGCAACATTTATTTCGTAAGAACGAAAATAAAAATACAATAAAATTCTAAAAAAGATATTTCACACTAACGTATTTATTATATATTATAGTACATAAATATTTTTCACTCATGATACAAAATACAAATTGTTATCGGAATTTAAAATAGTAATTGTAGTTTACTTCAGAATGGGTGCGATACACATTAAATGCTTATCAACGGATGCCGTTGTGTACCTCCAACACGTGTGTCCGTTTTAACTTGGAAAATCCTTTACGTAGCGCCGAGGGCTCGTCGAACGAGAGTCAATGATGTCAACATAATTGTTATATATGTCGGAAGCCTAGACTTACGCACATGGTTTTAAATTTAGATCAAATGGTATAATTTTTTTTTTTTATTAATGGAATTCGTTTTTGGCCGCCATAAGGGTTTAAAAATAATAAAATATTACATTCGTACAGTAGTGGGTTTACAAAATCGCATTTGGATTAAGGTCAAAAATCATCTTTTGACGTGATGACGCAGATTCGGGATAGTCGAGGCCAAATCTAAAGGTCAACGTATAGAGACCGCCTAGCGCAGACACAAAAACGTCTCCCTGGGGCATTTCCCGGTTCTATTTCCGGTGTTTATGAGATAATAATAAAAATATACCACGATTGCTTGTTTACACACGACGTTCAACGTACGCGCGAAACACGAGTTCATGGAGAAATGCGTTCGTTAAACGTAAGTTATGGAAAAAAAAAAGGTTTTTTGGCTACTCACTTCCTCGCTGACGTTTCTGGGCAAGTGCTTGACCTGGAGCTGCCTGTCCTTGTGGAATTTGATCTTGGCGTCCTGTACCTTGCGCTTGATCTTCTCCTCCGGCTCTTCTTCCCAAAACCGTTCAGTAGACGCTGTGGCTTGAAGCACCTGATGGTTGCCAGCGACCCCGACGCCTCCACCACCGCCGTTCCAAAATGCTTTCGGATCGTTGAGCTTGTACTTGAAACACGGGTGTCCGTCGCTGGCGTACACCGATTTGGCGGTTTCCGTGGTCATCGTGCCCCGTGGTGAAAATATTGCTCGACAGTGGCGGATTGTTGTTAACGGCAATACTCCGCGCTACGATGTGCGAACGACGAGCGGAAGCGAAGAAGAAAAAAATTCGAAAAACGTGCGGCCGCTAACGGTTTTTTTTTTTTTTATTATTATTATTATTATTATTATATTTTTCGCGTTCGTCTCGAACACGGATCACAGTGAATCGGTCTGAATACGGACAGGAATAACGATAATCGATATCATAAGAGGACGGGTCGACGGACGGGCACGCGGTTTTACGTTTGAAATACTGGTCGGTTTGTCGCGAAGATCGAGAACTGTACAACAACTGCGCTATACGTTAGTAGCTCGTGGTTGGCGGCGTTGCCGGTGGACGACGTACACGAGCGCCAAGACGAGTGACAATGAAATACCTGGTCGGCGGCGGTTGCCCGGCGAAGAGGAGGTAAACCGGGACGCGCACGCGCAGGAACGCGATGCATTGTGTACGCGTCGTCGTCGAATCGTCGGCCGGTGCGTGCGTGCGTGCGTGCGTGCGTGTGTACGGCTCGCGTTCACGGGCCCGCGTCCGTGTGTGCGTGCGTGCGAGCGACGCGGTCGTGCGTCCGTGTGTGCGTGCGCATGGTTATGCGGCGAACCGTCGTCGTGTTCGTGCCTGCGGCGCGCACATGTTCGGTTCTCCGCGTGGAGACGCTACATTATGCTAACCCCGCCGGTAGCGCGCAGGCGCGACCAACGAAACGTGTCCGGACGAACTGCTAATTACGAACGATTCACGTCCCCGGGGGTGGAAATGATCTCGATGATCGTTACCGCTCGACGTGCCGTACACGAAGAAAATCTTAATCACTAACGCTTCTGACCTATAATAATAATAATAATAATAATAATAATAATAGTACCTAATATTAACGGCTCTAGCAACGATTTTTGTGGTTAAATGTTTTCACGAACCAGACGTGTCAACTGGCGTTCGAGTTGTGTTCGTGAAAACTTGAAATTTTCAATTTCTTCTCGGCTCAACGCGCAGATGGAAAATTTGCGAAATCAATTGGGTTTTTCAACTTCACATTTTTTTCTTTTTCTTCACGAGAACGCCTTATGTGGAATTCATTTTTGAAATTTTACATTTGGTACTCAAAACATTGGCATTCATACTACTTAAGTAAAAACTACTAGTCAGTTTTAAAGACTATTGAAGAAATTTTTGGAAAACGGTAACCGATAAGTGTATTATCATAGACAAATTGATGTAGGTACTCAAATTCTAGTTCATCTGAATAATCGTAAATTAATAAATTAAATCATGAAGAAATTTAGTGTTACAAAAGGATAAATTTTTTCTAGATGACAATAGAAATCGTATTAAAATTAATAATTCATTGCTTAATATCAAATTACTTAGCAATTCATTTTTTTTTTTTTTTTTGTTATAAAAATATTCATATCTTATCAAAATGTCATAACAACAAAGTAACATATATTATACACAAAAATGTAATTAAAATAAATAAACAGTTATGAAATGGGTTTTGGAAAACTGATACATTTATTCTATCCAATTTCATTGTTTATAAAAAAAAAAAAAAATCGTGTAAATAAATATATTATAAACAAACTGTTTATCGTCCAGACTCTGGACTTCAGAGTATGTTTGTACAGCTTAGATAATAAAAACTGTTATCATTTTCTTAAACTGTTACAAAACGTTTCTTATATTATAAAATTAATTAATTACAATTGATCATGAAAAATGTATTTTGATAAAAAGAGTACAGATAATATCATAATAAAATTGTATTGTTAGCAGATTTATACTAAATATTAAATGGTATCGATAATACGGACCGTTCATTTGGTATGCTAAACATATTTATACATAGACATATTTACATACATATTTATATAAACATATTATATTGTATATATTATTGAACAATTAACATTTGTGGTGTACAAAAAAGTTAACACAGATACAATCATCTAATATGTATATAATCTATTGAATCACCTAAGTAACTAAACACATTCCATTTTTACTAAAAATGAGGGTTAAGTGGGTGTGACACTGAGTCAACACGTTTTAACATCTTGATTATATTATTGTTGCGTCCTCCTGATGCATTATTTATTTTTTAGCTAGTTTAAAAAAAATTTTATAACACAAAATGTGTTTTTTACACATCTCACTGAATACAAGTATATTATAATATTAATTATACAACGAACCTGATACCGAATGACAAATTGTTGATTTTTTATATTAAACCATACACAGTTCTGATCAGTAATTTCAGTTTAATATGTTTAATATAAGTCACATCATGTAACTACATTAGTTTCTATAAACTATATAGCCAACGGGTGTTTAAAACATAGTATTTATTTATAAAAATTAGTATGGATTATTTTTTCTGTACTGAAGATTAGGTACTATTCTATAGTTACTGTAGTTACGATATTTCAAGTTGAAATTGTTAAGCCCAATAGTAGAATGTATTATTATATGTAGTACTGTAATAGTAATAAAACATTCGTTAAATACATGAACTTTGTTATTTCATTGTCATTCGTTTCAGTACCTAGTTATTACTAAAAATGTTATTTTCAACTCAACGAAAATAAATTGTGTTTATAACTTCATAAAAAAATCAATTCTAATAACGATTTATTTATACTTAAATTATGATGTACTTTTTTTCCAATTAATAATAATCATTCACTATTACTTCGTAATTAATTTGACGAAGTACTTAATTATTCAGTCTAGTGTATCTCGTCAAAATATCAAAACAATATAAAAATCATTCAATTGACCGATTGCCAACAGTCCTCAGTCGTAGCATATTTTCAAATTTTTTGTGGTGAGGGGGTATAAATTTTTCTAAAAAACAAGTGATTTTATAATATAAAAAATACAAATAAAGTATGAATTAATAATTATATTATTATACTATTATTATTATACACTATTATTATACATATGAAGAGTTATTTACAACCACATTATATAAATTAATGTTCTCTTTGTACTTCTCTGTACCTTTGTAGTTTTTTAACATTTTTTTTTGGAAGGGGGAAGAGGGGTCAAGAACCTCCTCCATTTAAAAATAAGCCACTGATCCTCATATATTTTATATGACTTGATGTTCTAAAAAATTTGTTTTTACTCATTTATGCTAACATTAAAATATTTATAATCCTACACATTTTGTAATGTGTGAGTTTTTGTCAACAAATGTATGTCTATGATAATCAAGCAGGTCAATCGACCTGCAAGTCAAACTTAAAACAAAAAGAGCGCGCCGCGCCGACAATGGAATAACAGTCAACCGAACAATGCTTATTTTACTCTGCACAACTAAATGGGGTCAAGCGGCATTCACAGCCAGGGGCAGCTCGTCAGGGGAGACTTTGAGACTGAGTCTCCCCATAAAAAAAACCGCACTTGTAAATAATTACTATTTAAAAATGTATAGAAATATTTTATTTTTATTGAAAATATGTTATGTATGCCTGTAAATACGTTATGCGTTTTCTATATTTATTATTATAAATTTAAGGTCACAAAATATAAAACCTATAAATAGTTATTTCGATAGAAACATTATTTTAGTAATTTTGACGACGGTCGCCGTTTCAGTGAAACTGACGTCCGACAGGTTCAATCGTAACAATGTGAAAACAGTTCGGTCCCCATATAGGTAGTGATTTATTAAAAAAAAAAAAGGTTCAATTGTAACATATAATGGTTTGGTTTGTTGGACGGAGGGGGCCAGAGAGAATAATCCGGATATTATAGACGCTATTGAAACTGGGTTCACGACAATAATTTCCATGCCATCGCACCGTAGTTAGTCGCTGTACACCGTCATCTGCGAATTCGCAGATGAAAAAAATTGCAGAATTGAAATAGCTATAAAAAAATGTACAGTTAAATGAAGTTAAAAATATTAACTTAATATTAAATTAAGTATTGAGTATTATTAATTTTCCAATAAAAGGGGTTTTCTTGTTCGTTGTTGTATGGAGCTTATGTTAAATAATTTAAGTCTTCCCAAAATATTTACTACGAGCCGCTACAGTTCACAACGGCCAGAGGAAAAATATAAATACAAATATTTTTATGACATCTTAATATATATGCTCACAGCTGTCAAATGAGACAAGAACGAACATTCTGCATTGATCCTAACCCTCCGTTCTAAGGGTGCAAAAGTAGTCGATTTGACAAAAAATGGAAAAAAATTTTAATCAAGGCAGAGAAAAAACGAATTTATAAAAATTTGGATACAACTTTTTATCAAGGGTGACTAGGGAACAAAAAAAATAAAAATTCAAAAAACTCAAAATTACCTAAAAATGACTCCTCTCAAAATGGGTACAAATCTTAAATATGCATAAAACTCTTCTCTGGTGTAATTAATAAACGTATGCCAAAATTCAAATCTGTAGGGCTGTTTAAAAATACTCCAAAATTGGCAAAACATTCAATAAAGGTAGAGAAAAAACGAATTTATAAAACTTGACAACAATTTTGATACAGCTTTTTATCAGTGGTGAATAGGGAACAACAAAAGAAAAATTAAAAAAAACTCAATGTTTCTCACAAATGCCCCCCCTCTCCAATATGAGCTTAAACCTTTATTATGCATAAAACTCTTTCTGATATGATTAATAAACGTATGTCAAAATTTAAGTCATTCAAGTAAATATATAAGTTTATAATTTAACGATTTCTTTATTAGTATTTTAAACAAAGCTTCTTAAAAAACTTAAGTTTCTTAAATTCTTTGAAGGGCACTGTATAATCATATGATATGAACCATATATTTACATATCTATTATTATATAATAAATAACAATATTTACAAAACGAATTATGTTTCTGTGTTTTTCACCACCAGATAGATTAGTAATTACTTTCTAGGTTTTCTTTGACGGTCTTGTACTAAAAAATATTAATAACAAATTTGTTTTAATATGTTTTCATTATTAAACACTCAATATTTATAACGGTTGTAACAAACAAACCTAAAATTAACATCTTCACTAAATAGAATCTACCACTAAATGAATCAACTAATTTAATTCAGCATCCCCACCAAGTGTTATCATTTGATACATTTATTTTAATTTGATTGTAATTTTCTTGAATGATACCATAAACTTAAACCGTTTTCATTGTTTTACTTTATTTGTTATATTAATATGATCATTATATAATTTCAAAATTTCAGTAATTTCATTTGCTTTTTCATGGCACTGCTTATTCTTTTAAGCAAAAATAAGAACATAAATAAAACAATACATTTAATTGTAAATAATTTAAATTAATAAATTACATACCCTTTTCTAATATTTATACTTAATATAGGTAGTTGTTAGACAGTGTTCTTCACGTAGTAATGTAAGGCGTATTATCTTAGATAAAAAAATGTAGAAGAGGTTCTAATTTTTCAAATTCCAA